TAAAATCAACTATTCAGTCATTTAGTCATTCATTTAACAAAATACTGATATCTAGTCTAGGTCCCAGACATGTAGCAGTGAACAAGATAAAGTGTCTGCCCTCTTGGAGCTTACATTCCAATAAGGGAGACAGACAGTGAACAAATAAACAAGTAATTATATGTGTGATAATGAAAAAGAAAGTAGAGGAGGTAATTGAGGTAGCCTAAGGGTACTATTTTATATGTAGGAAGGTCAGCAAAGGACTCTTCAAGAAAGTGAAATATGAACAGATATCTTAGTGAAGTGAGAGGGTGATCCATGGGAAGTAGGAGAAGAGGTATTTTTCCAGGCAGAGAAGCTGCATGTCCAAAGAGCCAAGACAAAGATAGGCTTCATGTGGCTGTAGCCCAAAGGATGGGAGGTGAGGTCAGGGAAGTAGGCAGGGGCTACCTTACACAGCGGCTTACAGGCTACGGTGGGAAATGTACATTTTATTTTGAATTGGGAAGCCACTGGGTCATCTTGAGCAAGAAGGTGATGTGAAATAATTTTTATTTATAATATCTTATTCTTTGAGACATAGATGGAGGGGACTTTTGTTTTCCAAATGACTTTAAAATTACAACCACAATGTTAAGGAGACAAGAACGTATAAACTTGGGCCTTCTTATCTGTATCCAGTGTTAACTCTTGAAAGGTTCCAAGGGCAGTGCACATATGTTGACAATGTTTCATTACATTACAGATTCCAGACAAATGCAAGCCTTCTCCCTTAGCTGGAAGAAAATCCCTTGGAAGTAGTGAATATTGTGATGAAAAAAAGGTGTTTATAAAAAGATGTTCTTATTGAATATAATCACTTTGAAATTAATTAATTGATACCTCCCTCTTTTCCCAGAGGATTTGAAGTGAAAAGATAAAAATAGAAAAACAGAGTTGAGGGAATTGGCCTAAAGAGGAGAAGGGAAAGAATGGGGGATGGGGGGGAGGGGTGGGGCTCTCCAGAATAAATTCAGAAGGAAGAATAGTTTTTGTGGCATTGGAAGTGGCCAGTAAATATGGTCTAAAACCTCTTAGTGATCTAGTATCAAATTTGTAGCATCTATTCAATTGAAACAAACATACTGCTTCAGAAGAGTACTACCCTTTCTCATACTGAGACTTAAGAGGACTTCCTCCCACGGATCTTCATGGTGAAGATGACATGGAGTGTAATGAACAATGCACTCGGCTATACACATCACAGTAGATATGTTAATGAAGCTCGTATAGCTGTCCTTTATGAGCCCCATGCAAAAAAGCTTTGCAATTCAGTTCAAACAAACAAAACTGCTGCTTTATTGAGGCCCAAGAATCAAGCTCTCAGTCTCATTTAACTGTCAGAAAAATGGGAGACTCCCTGTCCATGAGGCATACATCATGAATATCATCACCTACAACCAAGGTCTCATAAGAATTAAATAGCAGAGGGCCCAGGGTTAAATTCCTGGTGATACAGCATTGTGAGTTAAGGCTTTGGACTTGACACTCAATCTCAGGTACAAATCCTGGTTCTGCTGCTTACTAGTGCTGTTCCAGGGGAAAGTTACTTAAGCTTCTGGAGCTACCATTTCCTCATCTATAAGTGAGAACGGTAACAGTACTTGTCTCATAAAGTTGCTATGGTGATTAGTTGAAATAATGCACATAGGACATACTCTTTGTGGTTTGTGATGGGGTGGATTGTCATTTTAACAATAATAATTTGGGGGCCGGTTGAAGGCAGATACAAAAATGTGCTGACTTAAAATTCTAATAAAGGTCCTTCACCAAAAAGAGGGAGAGCACCTATAGATAGAAACAGTGTTAGACATTAGTTACTTGGGTGGGAACAACGTATCAGTTACAGGCCCTCAGTAAACAGTCAAAAATCTGCCTAAAAGCTGAAATACAAGCAAAGCTGTTGGCATGTGTATACAAGAAACATGTATTTCTTGCACAATCACTGGTGGAGACATTAGTTTATAATCTCTAACCAGGGATACTAACATCCTCTACTCATTACTCTTTAAAATGTCCATTTAGGTCGTGATGAAGCAAAAGTAAAGCAAATTAAAAAGTATCTTCAGGCAGTAGGAATGTTCAGAGATTTCGGTGACTCCTCTCAAGACCCAGACTTTGCCCAGGTACGAGACAACCTTCCACCAAACATGTTTCCTCTTCTCAAGGCTGTGATTTTGGTTGTGTGTGTTTTTTCTTGAGGGTAGTACTTATAGGAAATTAGTCACTGCCAAATTAGGATGTTGTACAGAACAGGGTGTTAGAAGGCTGAAAAATCAAAAGGTTAAGGAAATTAAAACATAACAGAATAATGTAACTTTACATTCCTGATGACTTAGTCATTGTAAGTTAAATGTGCTTCCCCTTTTTGAACTACTGATCCTCTCTTATGTGGAAGATGGTTGAAAAGGACTTCACTAGAGGAACTAGAGCTATTAAAAAGCTAAGCCCATCATGATCTTCAAGGAGGAAAGAAGTTGGAGTGTGAACAGACTGATTAGTTCTATTTATCCAATGATAAGAGAGGGTCCTCCTTTCTTCTTGCCTTTATTTTCTAAAGTGCAAACTGAATTCACATTTTTGCCTGCAGCCACGGTTGGAGAGTAAACTAGATATGGGACCCTTGTTTTATTTCATGTTACATTGAGGGAAGGAACTAGTTAATTAGATTAAGTTAGGCCCATTTCCTGGCATTGATGGTTTACTGGCGGCATCCCTCACAAATCACCATTTTTGTTGTTGTTATGTGCCCTCAAGTCGTTGAGTCAGACCCGACTCATAGCGACCCCTCCTTGGGTTTCTGTGGCAGTATTACAACGGAAGTAAATTGCCCAACCTTCATTCTGAGGAGTGACTGGTGGGTTTGAACCGCCAGCCTTCCGGTTAGCAGTCAAGTGCTTTAGGCACTATGCTACCAGAGCTCCTACAAATCACCATAGAAGAAGTATAATGGTTTATGTATCATTTCAATAGAAAACCCAATGCTAACTTAAATGATAAAAAGAATGTATGAGCTTATACAAGGCTGAATGAGTGGAGGACACTGGACAGCAACTTCAACATCCACCTTGGTCTTTCTGAGAGGTGGCAGGCTTCCTGTCTGTTCTGTGTAACTTAATTGTTCACCTGGATTTTGGGAAATCAGTCATTCAAGTGTAAAGAAGGACATCAGCTTCCTTGTTTTGTTGGTTTATTTGTTTTTATAGTGGTGGTATAAATTCTCTTACATTGTTTATATTCTTTGTGGGTATAATACGAATTCTGCAGTTTGTTTTCTTTTGGGTGAACAGGTTGTGGAATTAGATTTGAAAACAGTAGTACCTTGCTGCAGTGGACCCAAAAGGCCTCAGGATAAAGTTGCTGTGTCTGACATGAAAAAGGACTTTGAGAACTGCCTTGGAGCCAAGGTAGGGGCTTGGGAAAGGCATGTTGAAATCCTCCCTGACCCCACCCCATGGTGAGTTTCTATATGCCCAGTCTTCCTTTCACACCATTTGCTTCTAAGCTTGGCACCGAGGGTGTGACTTCTCTGTTCTCCTTAATGACTCCCATTAACTAAGGGCCAGTTTCCTTAAAGCACATGACCATCTGTAAACACAGCTCAACCCACCTTTTTAACCATGGCGCTTGCCACATTGTTCACTGGACTCCCAAGCTTTTCTGGCCATTGTTCTTTTGTTCATGCCGCTCTTACTCGCTGTCTGAATGCTTCTTCGAAATCTGTGCATGTCCCAATCTATCCACCCCTTAAGGCTCAATTCAGATACCAGCTCCTCTGCAATGTGGTCTCAGAATCTCATACAGAAAGTCATCTTTCCTCATTTGAGACTTCACAACACTTGATCTAAAAACTGCCTTCTCTAACTTAACATTGGTACTTTATGTTGTTTGCATGTCTGATTTCTCTTACAGGTTTAAGGTTTAAGGATATAATTTGTCCTGGAATCAACTTTGGATCCAAATGACTTGTGTACAATGGATACTCAGTGAACATTTCCCAAATAAGTGGATGTGTGATACATTTTATCCATGGGATACAAGCATTATACCACATACTCAGCTGGGCTTACATTATTGATCACAGTTAGCGAAATCTGGCCAAACTGGCACCTTGTCCTAAATTTCCATAGCGTTAGAATCAGTAATCTCAGCCTGTACAATACGTGTTCTATTTGCTAACTTTGAACTAGATCTGTAGTTTATGCATTTCCATTTTTAAGGTGGGAAGGAAGAAGTTGTTAATCATGCAGAGTAGAGTAAGATTCACACACGATGGTTGCCTTTTGTAGAGCTTTAAGGAGAGTAAAGAGAACTTCACTTTGATCTTTCTGTAATAAGTCAGAGCTTGCTAGCCAAAATATTTATGTTTTGGCCTTTAAAATTATAGTTAACAAAATCGTTCCTGTTCCAAAGTGAGAACTTTTGCCATATATATTTTTTTCTTTCTGTAGCAAGGGTTTAAAGGATTCCAGATCGCTCCGGATCATCATAACGACCACAAGACATTTATCTATAATAATAGTGAATTCACACTTGCTCATGGTTCTGTGGTCATCGCTGCCATTACGAGCTGCACAAACACCAGTAACCCCTCTGTGATGTTAGGGGCAGGTAAGTGCATTTGAATCCATCCCCAAGGTCATGTGGACATGTAGGTGGAAACTTTTTTAAGACGTGTCTCAGGCAGGGGCTTAACCAGGTTGTACATGTACTTCCCTGAACCTTGTCTTTTCCAGATATGGAGATTTACTGGCCCACGTACAGCTACACAGAAATTATGGTCCAGTGAAAATATTTAAAACAAAACATATAACACATAATACTCTTTCCCTTTGGGATTAACACAGAAAATAAGTAGAGAAAAGCAAAGGAAGCCAATTTCCTGATAAAGCCTAGAACGTTGTGTTAGACTTCAGAAGAAAAACAACTCTTTCCATGTTACAGAATTTGTTCTTTGCTGAAAACTTCTGCTAGGGTTTTTTTTTTTTTTTTTTTTTTAAGTAGTAGCAGAATTTAGGATCATCTTTGCACTGACAGTGGTGTCTGAATTAGGGCACAGGGCAGTGGTTGATAAAACTCAGTGGACCTGACCTGTTATGCAATTCTAGTTAAGTAGTTAATATTTACATGCAGACTTTCACTAATACAATGTCTCTTTAGCTTCCAAATTTTCAATCATTGCCAAAAGTTTCGCTTGAGTCCACAGACCAGAAGTACACAAGTGTTCATCTGTTGCTACATAAGCTTTCTTTGTCTGGTGCAATACAGTTTTCTTAAGACAAGTCACCAGTATGTCTGTAGCTTTTTGACCCTTTGTATCCCCACTCTTTATTTCCTGTCTGCTTCTGTAATACTTCTAAGACTTAACCCTCATTATTCCAGTAACAGTTTCTGTATTGCCAAAACAAACAGTGGCCCAGGGACTCTTGATCTTCTGCTTCAGGATTGTCTGTGGACTAGATTTTTACTTCTAGGCTACGATATTCCTCACCAACTAGTGTGCGTGAATATATTTTCAGAAAGGACCCTCCAGTGATAGTTTTTAGCCAAAGAAAACATAATTAGAAAGATCACTCTCCCTCAAAAATTAAAAGCTCATTCTATAACCTAAATGGTCTTAGATTTCTCTCTTTAAATAATAATAATAACCCATTTCTTTCTTCATTTCCATGATAAATCTTGAGTTTATTATGTACATACAAATGATTTGGGGCCAGTGAGCTTGTGGTTTCTGTTAGGAGAAACAGCAGAAAGCCCCCACATAAGGGACTTTGTCAGGCAGTGGCAAGAAATGCAGTCTGCTAAGTCAGTCTCCTTCCTGGACTATCCATGGCACTTAGAGCAGGCAGCCACCCACAACTTTTTCTGTGTTTACCATTTCACAGGATTGTTAGCAAAGAAAGCTGTGGATGCTGGCCTGAGTGTGAAGCCTTACATCAAAACTAGCCTGTCCCCTGGAAGTGGTGTGGTCACCTACTATCTGCGCGAAAGCGGAGTCATGCCTTACCTGTCTCAGCTTGGGTGAGGGAGAGTTTCCTTTCGCACCATTGCTTTTGTCCCATCTTTTTCTACATGTATCTTGCTATATAGCACCTTGTAACAAATGTTAACTAATAGAATCTAATTGGGTATCCTTTGTCAGGTGGTAAGTAGACTTAAAGGAGTCCCTGGGTGGTGCACACTGTTAGTCACTTGACTATTAACCCAAAGGTTGGTAGTTTGAACCCACCCAGAGGTGCCTCGGAAGAAGACATGACAACTGTGGAGTGTGGTTCTACTCTACAACACATACAGTTGCGGTGAGTTGGCATCATCTTGGCGGCAACTGGTTTGGTGTTTTATTTTTCTTTTTCAAAGCAGATTTAAACCCTTACATTGTACCTGAGTGGCCCTTCTGTATAGTTGTACTGATTGTTCATCACACAAGGTGCCTAGAGGAGGAGGAAGTGAGGGTTGAAGTTGACCCTGGACTCTGGTGTGTGCTACACCTTCTAGAGGAGGGGCTACCTTTTCTCTTTTACACAGAGGTACACTGTGGGCTGGCAATAGTTCTGCAACCCACAGTCTATCCTTTGATGTAAAAATATTTACCATGGCTGAAAACATTCTTTCTTGAGGTCAATTAATTAGTGGTTTTTTGCCTACATAGTTTCCCCTAACTTTCCCATTAATTCCTAATTTGGATAATGTAGAATTTATTCATGGAGTTCTGGTAGCATAGTGGCCAAGGCACTTTACTGCTAACCAGAAGGCTGGCGGTTCAAACCCACCAGCCACTCCTCGGAAGGAAGATGGGGCAATCTACTTCTGTAGTGATACTGCCTCGGAAACCCAAGGAGGGGTCGCTATGAGTCGGGTCCGACATAACAACAACAACATAAAAACCAAAGTCCTTGTGATTATTACAGTAGAAGTAGTGAATAGAGATTTCAATGGCATATCTGATTTCACCTTGTAAAAATTCTAGGTCATTCAGTTGTTGTTAGCTGCTGCTGAGTCGGCCTCCAATTCATGCCGACCCCATTCACAACAGGATTGGACCATTAGCTGGTTTTCAGAAGTAGATCACCAGGCCTTTCTTCCTAAATTATTCAGTTACACCCTTTTTTATAAGTAAAAAATATAGATAGTACTTCTTAGATATACTTCAACTAATTGCCCCTAAGAATGAACACATTATAAAACTAGCAGTGTTTTAAACTTATCTTATGCAGTGTTGTTCCCTTTAGATCAAGGTCATCCGAAACTACAACCAGCAGTAGCGCTTTCTGAGAGTTGACTGACTTCTTGTGTTTCTCTTTGGCATGTAGGTTTGATGTGGTGGGCTATGGCTGCATGACCTGCATTGGCAACAGTGGGCCTTTACCTGAACCTGTAGTAGAAGCTATCACACAGGTATTTATAGAGGAAACTGTGGGTCTTCAGAGCTGTTGGTTTTTGTTTTTTCATTTTTCATATAATGTGTCATAAAAACGATGGCAATTTCAAGAAGGTCCAAGGAAGCAGGGGATGTGGGTAAAAGTATAGTCTTTGGAGTCAAGTTAAACTTATTAATTCTATCACCTGGGGCAGATTAATGCTGGTTTTGACGGTAAGGGGCTCCAGAATGGTTTGTTCCTTGTAACTTTAAAATCAGTTCAAAGTCAGACAAGCCTCCACACAAATGGATCTAAATTGCATTGGCTTGATTTGGTCCCATAAAATTTATAGCCTTGAGAAAGACTATTTGGTTTGCTTCACCTTGATTATAGAATCCACGTAAATCATTGCAGTCTCCTTTACCCTCCAACTTTTAGCTTCTTCCCCTTGTTCTTATGCCTCAGGCAGCAATAACCAAGATGTTTCCTTCTGACCTGTAACCTGCTATTTTCTCATGAGCAGAAGACACTGAGTATGTCTCAGCTTCTTCTGACTCAGAGCCCTTTACACGGATGCCTTTGCATATTCTTCTTCGCTACACTAGGGGAGGATCAAATAAAAGGGCAACTGAAATAGCTCCATCCATGTGATGTGAAAACTTTTGCAAATGGCCTAAGACAAGAAGTCTTAATGCTGTCTTATCTTTGTGACTTGATTTTTCTCTTGCCTTCCACAGAGAGACCTTGTAGCTGTTGGGGTACTATCAGGGAACAGGAATTTTGAAGGTCGAGTCCATCCCAACACCCGGGCCAACTATTTAGCCTCCCCACCCTTAGTAATAGCATATGCAATTGCTGGGACCATTAGGATCGACTTTGAGAAAGAGCCATTGGGTAAGATTTTATTTATACGGTTAAATTTTTTTTCCAGTGAATTTAAAAATATTACTAAAAGAAAGTTACTCTTTTCCTTAATAAAAAATAAAGCTTAGAAAAAAATATAGAACGAAATTCAAAAATCATAAAAAGCCCAGATTTACTGGTGTGATAGATGATAGAATCCCTGTGACTGTGGCCCTTACACACCTTCAAACTGGGAACTGACCCACCCCAAGGATTACTTTGCAACTGAACAACAAACAGGCCTATAAAATGAACAGTAATGCTCATGGGAAATGAACCCCTCAGAACAATTAACCATATGAATCCACAAGGGCACCATTTGCCCCAAAACAGCTCAGAAGCCAGGAAGGGGCAGGGAATAAGGATGAATGGATACAGGGAACCCAGGGAGGAAGTGGAAGAGTGCTGCTACATTGAGGGGATTGCAACTAATGTTACAAAACAAGATGTATATAAATTGTTGAATGGAAAACAAATTTCCTCTTTAAACTTTCACCCAAGCCACAATAAATAATAATGATAATAAAAAGACTTAATACAAAATAAATCATAGAATCTCCGGAGATAAGATGCGATTCAGAATCTTTTCATAGCTAAGAGCTAAATGAAATAATCAAACAAAAACTTACTAAAATGTGTAAAGGATTTAAATACCAGAAGCACAAGTGATCTTGCTATACTGGCTTTTTTTTCCAGATTTTCTCTCTTTCTAAACCAAACCAAACCAAACCCACTGCCATCAAGTTGGATTTGACTCATAGCAACCCCTCCTTAGGTTTCCAAGGCGGTATCATTACAGAAGTAGATTGCCTAGCCTTCCTTCCCAGGAGTGGCTGGTGGGGTTTGAACTGCCAGCCTTCTGGTTAGCAGTCAAATGCCTTAGACACTACGCCACCAGAGCTCCCAGTATTAAAGCAGTATCTATTATTAGATTAAAGCAGTAGCTAGAAAGAGAGAGGGAGCTCTGGTAGCATAATGCCTAAGGCATTTGACTGTTAACCAGAAGGCTGGCAGTTCAAACCCACCAGCCACTCCTCAGAAGGAAGGTTGGGCAATCTACTTCTATAGTGATACCACCTCAGAAACTCAAGGAGGGGTCGCTATGAGAAGGATCTGACTCGACAGCAGTGCATTGCTTTAATATACTCTCTATGGGAACCAAACAAAAAAAACCAAACCCACTGCCATCAAGTTGATTCCTACGCATAGCAACCCTACAGAACGGATTAGAACTGCCTCATAGGGTTTCCAAGGCTGTAAATCTTTACAGCAGAGTCCCTCATTTTTCTCCAGTAGAGTAACTGGTGGGTTCGAACCGCTGACCTTTTGGTTAGCCAGCAGATGCCTTAACCACTGTACCACCAAAGCTCCTTTCTGTAGGAACAAATGCCAGATATTTAAAGTTCTCAAAATTCAGGGGGAAATGATGCCTTGTTTCCTTTTCTGTAGTCTTCTTACTCCCTACACTGTCCTCAGTCTACTCTAGGCAGATTGTTGTTGTTGTTGTTTTTATGTGGACGACTCATAGGGACCCCTCCTTGAGTTTCTGAGGCAGTATCACTATGGAAGTAGATTGCCCAACATTCCTTCCAGAGGAGTGGCTGGTGGGTTTGAACTGCCACCCTTCTGGTTAGCAGTCAAGTGCCTTAGGCATTATGCTACCAGAGGCAGATTAGATAATGGGAAAACAATGGCATTTAAATTTACTTGTAGCAAATCAAAACTTTAGAGGAATGTAATAATTAAAATGGGGTATTAGGTGAAGTTTTTCTCCTTAATAAATATTTTTCCCCCAGGGGTAAATGCAAAGGGTCAACAGGTATTTCTGAAAGACATCTGGCCGACCAGAGACGAGATCCAGGCAGTGGAGCATCAGTATGTCATCCCTGGCATGTTTAAGGAGGTCTATCAGAAAATAGAGGTGAGGTCCCTCACAACCCCTCCCCCCCAAGTATCTAAGAGAGAAAGTTGCTCCTTTGTGTCATTTCTGCAGAAGCTGAGGCTAATGGGATGTTAGCCATGATACACCATAGAAAGTAACAATTATTTTTTTCAGATAACTAGAAAGCAATTCTCAATCATTTCTCTACTGTGCTTTACATTTTTACAAACCTCATACTCCCTAGATCTTCCCAGATTTGGACAAGCAGATGGCAGCCTCATAAGGAAAGACCTCAAGTTACGTATGATTGTTGGCCAGCCCTTTATAACTCCACCCTTTTCTCAGAATTGGTTGAGACATCTTGTGGGGCTGTGTCACTGAGGTTGAGGGCCCCTGATGTCACTGCTTTGTGTCACTGAGGTTGAGTCAATTGGCTGAATTCACCTCTCAGATTGCATTATTTAGATGCTGTTTTAAAAATGGAAGTGGGGGGTGGGAAACCCTTCATGAAGAAGTGCCAAACTTCCTGAAATAAATAAAACTTTCTGTGCATTTTTCAGATAGGAGAAAAATATATGGGACTCAGTTTCTGAGACTCTTGGATATTAGTCCTTTCACCTCTTTCTGTGTTGGGCTGATCCAAGGGCCTCTGGAGGTGATAGGTTGAAATGAGACAGCAGAGATGGCTAGCAGAGGGCAAAATGGGGATCATAGGTAAGCCCCACACCCACACCCAGCTGTTCATTGGGAAATGGGATGAGGAAGTTTGATAGGCATTGAGCTAAATGCATTTCTCCAAAGGTTGTGTTAATGTGCCTATGGAGAGAATTCAAGCTGATTTTAATGCAGAGTAGCTGTCATTTGCTATTTAGTGTCCTTGGGACCTGGAAATCCACTTCTCAAAATGTCCAGAGAGTATAAAATTTTCCCCTGGGTGCAATCATGTAAGTTATATGTAAGTGTACTTTTAGTCATCTGTTACTTTGCAACAAACTACCCTAAAACAATTTCTTATCTCACAGTTTCTGGGGGTAAAGATACCAGATGTGGCTTAACTGGGTATCTCTATCTTCACAAGGCTCCAAACAGGTGTCCTCGTGTCATCTAGGGCTGCAGTCTCATTGGAAGGCTCACCTAAGGCAGGATCCACTTCTAAGCTCAGTTCTTGGCAGGATGGTTGGACTGAGGGCCTCATTGACTGTTTCTCATTGACTGTTAGCGAGAATCCTCACTCTTCACAGGACAACTCACAACATGGTAGCTGGCTTCCATCAGTAAACAAGAGAGGGTGGGAGAGACTGAAACCAGAACCTCTTTATAACCTAATCTTAAAATGAATCCCTTCGTTCAGCCTACACTCAACAGGAGGGACCACAAAAGGGTAGGAATAGCAGGAAGTAAGATCATTAGAGGCCATTTTAGTGGCTGCCTACTATAGTATTTTTAAGTCATTTACATGGAATTATCTTGTAATAAAGAAACTCTTGTATCTGACTATTAAGAATATTTTTATTGTATTCTCAACTTGAATATATGTTTTATGTTTACCCGTTAAATTTTCTCTAGAATGGAATGTGATTGTATCTGCCTTTGTTTTTTTCCAAGACTGTGAATGAAAGCTGGAATGCCTTAGCAGCCCCATCAGAGAAGCTGTATTGCTGGAATCCCAAATCTACCTACATTAAATCACCACCATTCTTTGAAAATCTGGTATGACTTTTACCGGGGGAAAAAAAAGTTCTCCAGCTTTCTTTCCTTATAAAAACTGCCTTATTGCCCTTGCTTTGACTAACCATTTAATTAAAACCCTTGCAAATCCAAACAGATGAAGTGGGGGGCATTTTAGGAAGCTGGGATATTTGGTAATAGTGGACCTAAAATTTCTCTGTCCAGTAGTTCTGTGTGGCTGTGTAGAAACACTCTGGTGATCAAATACTACCTAGGCATAGACTCAGTGACCCTGAAGGACTGCAGTATTCAAATCTTAGACTTTTGAAAACAAGGAAAATCTTACCTGATAATGATGATCAAGGAGTCCATGCTTCTTGGGTTAGCAGTCAAATGCCTTAGGCACTATGCCACCAGAGCTACCGTGACCTAATACACCAGTATTTATCAGAGTTAGTGGTTCCCAAATCTGACTGTAAGCAAGAATTATCTGGGGAGATAAAAATTCCTGGTTCCCACACCCACCTCTTGCATCAACTTCTTCACGTAATAAGCTTTTTAGATCACTGTGGGAGGGGATGAGAGCAGCATAAGCCAGGATTCCAGTTGGCTTATTCTCCCCTCCCACGGTGAAACTGTGAAGTTCTGCAAGTGTGACAAGACACAGTGTCATTTGCAGCTGCGTCCTTGTTGCTTTTGAAAGGATTATGCTGATGCTTCACTTTCCCTTCACAGATGCTATATGAATATTTTAAGTAAATTCTCCTTCCTTTTCTAAGCATTCTGATAAAATCAAGAAAACTAGAATTTTCTGTGCTTTGATACAGGACTGTCATCTAGTTCAGGTCCATGGCTTGCTACTGTTAAGGCTCACCTGTAAGTTGTTAGAGAAAACCTGGATGCTGACTTTTTCTTTTCTTTTCTAGACTTTAGATCTTCAGTCTCCTAAATCTATAGTGGATGCCTATGTGCTGTTAAATTTGGGAGACTCTGTAACAACTGACCACATCTCTCCAGCTGGAAATATTGCAAGAAACAGCCCTGCGGCTCGCTACTTAACTAACAGAGGGTAAGTGTGAGTGAGGGAGGCAAAGACTAATGACAAAAATAAGGGTGAATGAGGCCACTGTTCTTCCTTTCACACATGCATCTCTTTGGAATCAGACTCAGTTTCTACTGAACCATGTGCTTGAAAACCTTCTGCTCTTGCTGTATCTGCTTAGCAGCTTTCACTGGCGAACCTGTCAGCACAAGAGGATGACCTTCTTTTGGATCCGTGTACTCACTGAACTCAATTGTTATCCCTGCCTTCAGATTGGCTAACTGTTGAAGTACAAGGCTTTGCCTTTAACTTGGGGCATAGCCTGGTTACATTTCAGGCACAGGGCAGGGATATAACCTGAACTTCATTAACATATCCAGGTTGAGAGACCTGTTTATGAAGGAACTGCTTCAAACATTTTCAGTTCAAACATACATTCCTCAATCCTTTGTTGTTGTTGTTGTTGTTGTTTGCCGTTGAGTCGGCCCGACTCATACCGACCCCTCCTTGGGTTTCCGAGGCAGTATCACTATGAAAGTAGGATTGCCCAACCTTCCTTCCGAGGACTTTAGTCATATATTAATATTAGCAGGTATTACACCAGTATTATCTACCATGACCTCAAACTCGCAAAAAACCAAACTCACCGCTGTCAAGTCGATCCCAACTCATTGCGATCCTTTCTTGGGTTTCTGAGGTGGTATCTCTGCGGAAGTAGATGGCCCAATCTTCCTTCCAAGGAGTGGCTGGTGGGTTTGAACTGCCAGCCTTCTGGTTAGCAGTCAAATGCCTTAGGCACTATGCCACCAGAGCTACCATGACCTAATACACCAGTATTTATCAAAGTCACTGGTTCCCAAATCTGACTGTAAGCAAGAATTATCTGGGGAGATAAAAATTCCTGCTTCCCATGCCCACCTCTTGCATCAACTTCTTCAGGTAATAAGCTTTTAGGCAATCCCAATACAAATTTGAGGAACAGAATCTAGACACTGTTATTTTAGATTTGTGTTTCTTGACCTCTTTTAAGATGTGGACTGTTTAAGGAATTGAGTGAAAGTAAATATAACTCCTTTCCAGTAAAATACACATACCCACAACATTTGGATATAAATTCAGGGTTTGTGGACACACACGGCTGCTCCTGAAGCCCCTTCATAGACTCTCAGTCCTCACATTGGATCTAACCATTAAATCACATTGACATACCCCACCACCAGCATTCTAAGCAACAGCCCAGGGAACGTGTCACTCCATTAATTGTAGGATGTTTTTTCTGACATCACACAGTTTCCTTGCATTGGGACCCATAGGCAAGGTTGCCTGGCTTTAGGACCAAGAATACCCATGCTGGTTCTGTGGCACTCTTTGTTGTTAATCTTATAAAAATGGTCAGTGATGTTGCCATTCAAGTGTCTTCCCTTTGCACTGAGTTCCTGATAACATGGGGACAAATGTGAATCTATCTCTGGCTAGTTTATAAAATGTAATTTGCTACCTTGCTGAATAAATAAATAAGCTTATTAGAATTATTCTGATTTTTCTTCCCAGATTTGTAAGAAATTTTCTGCCTTTCACCACCCCACTTCTCACCTCTCACTCTCCCTCAGTGGAGGCAATGGGCAACTTTTCTGCCTTGGAGAACAATGCTTAATAGTTTTAGAGAAATAGCTAGGTTAATGAATTGTTATTTCTTTCTCTTATTTTCTTTTATTTCTTTCTAAGCTGAGTTTAATCTTCACTTGGTTGACTAAACTAACTCCTCTCCTTCTTTTTATTAGCCTGACTCCACGAGAATTCAACTCCTATGGCTCTCGCCGAGGTAACGACGCCATCATGGCAAGGGGCACATTTGCCAACATTCGCTTGTTAAACAAATTTTTGAACAAGCAGGCACCACAGACTATACATCTGCCTTCTGGAGAGATTGTGAGTATTGTCTCTTTGCTGCTTGCAGTAACCAGCATTTGCTAGGCTCTGGGTGGTTGGATATTACATAGTTAGTTTCCTTTTGTTCTTAATTTTTCTTCACAGCTCTGTCCTGTCTCTAGCTTCCTATAGTCCCTCTTGCCAGGTGTCCATTTGTGTGGGATTTATCATTGATGGAGGTGCTCTTTAACCTGCAAAATCTCTTCCTGCTTAGAGATTTGGTATCATACTTTAAAATCTAGCTTCCAGGGAGTTGTGCTTAAAACAAAACTCTGAATAAAATTTCATCAGTTGAAAGTATTTGGGAGAGATGTTCTAGGCTAAAAATTAGAAGATATTTATCAAGAAATGCATGTTGCCCATGACCATGTATAGGGTTGGCAGGTGATGTTTCTACATTCGTATTTGTATGTGCTATAAGAATGCCTGGGTGTGGTAGAGCTGACAAGGGACAGGGTTGTGGTGGCCTCTTGGCCACAGCCAGTTACCCTGAGGGAGCAAGTAGTTGGACCTGTGGGCTTGGGATCATGGTCGCAGGGGACATGAAGCTCAACTGACATAACATACTACCCAAAAACATTGTTCTACATCCTACTTTGGCGAGTAGCGACTAGGGTCTTAAAAGCTTGCAAACGGCCGTTTAGTTGCAACAATGGGTTTCTCCTCATCCAGAGCAAAGAAGTATGAGGAAAAACAAAGATACATGGAAACAATTAGTCCAAGGGACTAGTAGACCATGTGATCTTCAGCCTAGATGACTATGCTACCAGAAGAACTAGATGGCACTCAGCTACCACTGTTAACCACTCTAAGGGGGATTGGTGAAGAGATACTAGATAGAGTGGGAGAACAATGTGCAACAGAACTTAAAATCATTAAAAAAAAGACCAAGTTTGCTGGTCTGATAGAGCTTGGTGAGACCCCTGAGACTATGGCCCCTAGTTACCCTTCAGGTCTGGAACTGAACTCACTCCTGTGACTTCCAGCCAAACAACAGACAGGCATATGGGGTAAATATTTACATCAGGTAGATACACTCCTTGGAACAATTAGTGAATTGTGAGAGAACAGAAGAGCAGTGTTTGCACAGGGAGCTAGCTTGGTGGAGCGGAACTGCATGGGAAGAAAGGACACAGGGAAGAGGTAACTACAGAAAACTTAAAAAAAGAAAAATGCTATTGAATGACCTTGTTAGCATTTAATTTAGTTCACTGTATCCACTTTACTAAAAAAGGAGGTTAGGTAGAGACCCTACCAGGCCTGCAAGGGTCCCAATTGGAGTCAGCTTGAGTTGGAATATTATAGCTAGAATATTTGTTTATAGATTGGAGATATGTAAGAGATGGGGAAAGCCTGTACTTTGACTCAATCAAACCTAGGTTCATATCCCAGCCCCACCTCATACCAGCTAAGAACCTTCAGTAAGATATTTCCCTCTCCAAACCTCATTTTCCTTCCCTGTAAAGAGAAACTATACCAATATATAACTTACACACTCCCTTCTTGGTTTTAAACCATGCAGTGTCCCCTTATTCTGTTTGAACAGCAGCCTCCTGGTCTATGTACAGGTTCCTCTTGAGCACAATTAAGTGTTCTGTAATTCCCATTCTTCTCAAAGTTATCCATAGTTTTTTTATGAGCCACACAATCGAATGCTTTTGCGTAGTCAATGAAACACAAGTAAACATCTTTCTGGTATACTCTGCTTTCAACCAAGATCCATCTGATATCAGCATTCGATTGTGTGGATCATAACAAATTATGGATAACATTGAGAAGAATGGGAATTCCAGAACACCTAGCTGTGCTCATGAGGAACTTGTACATAGACCAGGAGGCTGTTGTTCAAATAGAACAAGCCTGAGAGTCTTATGATACAACTATATCATAATTTTAGCCAAAAAAAAAAAACCTATATCATAGGACTCTGAGGCTTAAAACACCTAGCACTGTGTCTAGCACATGTAGTTGATCTTCAGTGCCAGTTCCCTTCCCAGTGAGTACTACAAAACTGCTTGAAAACTCTTACATCTATCTGAAAAATAACTGCCCTCCTCTCAATTTATTTAAAAATAACGATAGCTAATATTTATGCAGAATTTACTATATTCCAGGTACTATACTAAGCTCTCTGCATATATTAACTTAATTAGTCATCAAAAAACACTTTTATGTAAGGTTCATAATTATCTATGTTTTAAATTTAGAACCCAAAGCACAGAATGTCATATGGCTCCCTAAAGTCACACAATGGAAAAGCTTCAAGTAGGAGAGGCTAGCGTAGGCAAAAGCCCCTTTCTATCTATCCCTTGTGAGCCCCTCCCCTCTCCTTTCTCTTTAATAAACTTTGGTTCATGTGGGGAAAAAAAAAAAGCTTCAAGTGGAACTCAAGGAATCTAACTTCAAAGTCCACACTATTTACTACCACGTATACTGTCTCAGTTACAACTGAGATTACATTTTTTGCAAAACAAACTCTTCATAGATAATCATTGATCAGTCAGCCTCACATATTTATAATCCCTTCCATGACAGAGAACATCTAGTCAGATGTATATTGCCTCATCTTAAATAGAAGACAGAGTCAGGGATGAACAGACATTTGAGACAAGTTTTGCAAGACAGGCCTAGACAAAGAACAGGGAAGGGAAAAAAAGGAAAGAAAACAGACAGTGCAAATATATATATTTATTAATAAATATGTATATATATATATATATTATTCTCCTCAGAGAGATGAGATGATTTCCTGTTGCTATAAAATACCAATCAGAGGATAAGAAAGAGCTTTTTAAATTTAAAAGAAATTTTAAAATTTAGCCAGAAAAAAAAAAATCAAAGGAAAAGTTGATTAGTTGAGAAAATCTTCCAGAATGTACAACAGAAATGCAAAGATACGGAAAATTAGAAAATGTAAGAAGAGTAATGATGCCGCACTAGAGGCACTCACTCGGTTATGCCAAGAGATTTGGAAGACAATTACTTGGTCAACTGACCAAGATATGGAAAAGATGCATATATATACCCATTCCAAACAAAGGTGATCCCACAGAATGTGGAAATTACCGAACAATGTCATTAGTATCACACACAAGTAAAATCTTAGCGAAGATAATTAAAAAACGATTACTGCAGTATATTGACACAGAACTTTCAGAAATGCAAGCTGGATTCAGAAGAGGACATGGAACAAGGGATCATTGCTGATGTCAGATGGATCTTGGCTTAAAGCAAAGTATACCAGAAAGATGTTTACTTGTGTTTCATTGACTATGCAAAAGCATTCGATTGTGTGGATCATAAAAAATTATGGATAACATTGAGAAGAATGGGAATTACAGAACACTTAATTGTGCTCATGAGGAACTTGTACATAGATAAGGAGGCTGTCATTCGAACGGAACAAGGGGACACTGCATGGTTTAAAATCAAGAAGGGAGTGCCTCGGGTTTATACCCTTTCACCGTACTTATTCAGTCTGTATGCTGAGCAAATAATCTGAGAAGCTGGACTTTACGAAGAAGAACATGGCATCAGGATTAGAGGAAGACTCATTAACAATCTGTGATATGCTGATGACACAACTTTGCTTGCTAAAAGTGAGGATGACTTGAAACACTTACTGATGAAGCTTGAAGACTGCAGTTGCAGTGTGAATTACACCTCAATATAAAGAAAACAAAAATCCTCACAATGGGACCAATAGGCAGCATCATGATAAATGGAAAAAAGATTGAAGTTTTCAAAGACTTCATATTACTTGGCTCTACAGTCAATACCAATGGAAGCAGCAGTCAAGATATCAGACATCGTATAACATTGGGCAAATCTGCTACAAAGGACTTCTCTCAAGTGCTGAAGAGCAAAGATGTTTTCTTAAAGACTAAGGTGCACTTGATACAAGCCATGGTATTTTCAGTCAACTCATATGCATGTGAGAGCTGGACAATTAAAAAGGAAGACCAAAGAAGAGCTGATGCTTTTGAGTTGTGGTGTTGTTGAAGAATGCTGAAAGTACTGTGGACTGCTAAAAGATCTAACAAATCTGTCCTGGAAGAAGTGCAACCGGAATGCTTCTTGGAAGTGCGAATGGCCAGACTTCGTCTCACCTACTGTGGTCATGTTGTAAGAAGAGACCATTCCCTAGAGAAGGATGTCATGCTTGGCAGAGTGGAGGGACAACAAAAAAGGGGAAGGCCCTCAAGGAGATGGATTGACACAGTGGCTGCAGCGATGGGCTCGGGTATGGCAAAGATCGTGCGGCTGACGCAGGACCGGGCAGTGTTTTGTTCTGCTGTACGTGAGGTTGCTATGAGTCGGAGACGACTCGACGGCACCTAACAACAACAAGAGTAAAGGCTGAACTGCATTCAGAAGGCCCAACATCTGCTAAAAAGAGAACAGAGGAAATGGAGGAGAGGAAATTATCAAGAAATAATATAAGAAAAAATCCCAGACTGAAGGATCCAAGACTCCAGATTGAAAAGGGCCCACTGAATGTCCAGCCAAATGAATAAAAAGACCCACTCCAGGTCCACCTCATGGTGAAATTAAGAACAAGGATAAGGGAGAAGTTCTAAAAACTTCTGAGGGTTGGGGGGAGCAGCTTCCATACAGTGAGTGGGGATCAGAAATGCACCAGACTTCTCAACAGCACTGGAAACTTAGACTGAGGAAAATTATTTATGCCCAAAAAGTTTATGCCCATCATAGTACCAAGCAAGTGAAAGTAATGACACATTTGGATGTTCAAAGCTTCAAAAACATCCATAATCACTACTCAGTGAATGTGTTTCACTAAAAGGAGGGAGTAAACCAAACAAGAGGAAGACATGGGATCCAGGAAACAGAAATGAAGGGAATCCCCAGGATGTTGATGAAAGAAGATACCTCTATAACAGCATTGGTCTGAGAGCTATCTGTCCCGATTGGAACATGACCAAGGGCTCTAGCTAGGAGTGAGAGCTCCATGAAAAAGACTTAAAATAATAGATTACCTAGTAAGTTTGAATGTCTTTAGAGAAGGTTTGTACTTTAGGCAGAGCACTTAAGGACTGATGAATAGATAAGGACATCGACATAGGTGATCAAAAAAATGAGAATTATTAACTCCGTGGAAAATTTTTTAAGTTGCCCAAGAGAGGAAATCATAGTACATTACATGCCTCAGCTGCAAATACATAATCATAAAAATGTAAACATCAAATAATGCCTTATCAAATATTATGGCATAACTATATTGGGAGATTGAGGAGAAGGGAAGTCTGTGTTTGGTGGTAGGGAGGAGATAGTGGTTAAGAAAACTAACTCCTCATCATAGCAAGAACTTGATATATAACAAAAATGGAGAAATTAAGAACTAGTAGTATAAACATAACCCCTAGATATAGAGGCAAAACAGCAGAAGAAACAGCTAAGTTTTTTGTTCTCTTTTGTAGAGTGCAGGGAGCTGTTGCTTTATAAGGCATGCAGTGCCCTCAGCATGGCTCATGTAATAAAAAAGTTAGGAGATCAGATTCTAGACCTGCTTAGTCCCTCTGATCTTGGGTAACAGGACCTGCTCTGCCATGGGTTTGACATCACTTTTTAAAACACATTCCCACATTCTTAATATCCAAGCTAGTAATAGATATCTCTGAAAATATCAGGTAGGGTGTTTCTTTCTGGTCCTTGAAATGATCTGACGTTTTGGTTAAGCAGAAGAATTTTACTGTTTCTATAACAATTTCTATACTGCTGGGTTCTTCAGCTGAAAACATGCCAACTGCCTACCTGGATTTAAGTAACATCACATGAAGTTAACCGAGGCTCTATCAGTCTACCAAAATACTAATTTGTGAAAACCTATATAAGAATATGATTAAATACCTTTCTTGAGCTTCTTTCAAGTGGAAATCTCTCTCTCTTTCTCTCAAGGGATTTTATTTTCTGACTTAATGTAGCTGGGAAAAATAATTTGTTCATTAGTCAATCACCAGTGATAATATTGGATGTCTTTGTGAAATCTCAGCTCATCAGAATATTCAGTGTTTGTATGAGAAACAAATCTTATTTGTGTAAGATGTTTCTCATAAATTAAAACAAGAGTTAATCTTTTCCTGTCTTTTATTTTATGTTTGTACTGTGCCTGTCATTGACCTCCATGTAGAAGGGTGACTAATTAAAAAGAAAAAAAAAAAAAAAGGTTGTATTTTTAACTTTTAAAAAAGTTTGATCCATGAAAAGAAAAAAATAAAATCAAGTTTTCTTTTTCCCCCTAATGCCCTAACATTTTAATGTGTTTGTAATACCAGGAAAACAATTAGGCATTTCAGTCAAGAGAAAATTCAATCCTGTGGAAATAAATGGATCAAGATAATTGGAGATTTGTAGACCAGAGAACTGGTTGGTTGAGTTTTCCACTGGCCTCATGTTGACTTGGCCATCTACAGTCCCTTCTGACACTGAACTTCTAACCAGGTCTCACTGGGCTCTGTCCACGTACTGTCTCTATAAAACCTTCCTGTTCTTTTCCTCAGCTTGATGTGTTCGATGCCGCTGAACGATACCAGCGGGCTGGCCTTCCCCTTATCATTCTGGCTGGCAAAGAGTATGGCTCTGGAAGCTCTCGAGACTGGGCGGCCAAGGGCCCTTTCCTTTTGGTGAGTATGAAGTAAAGGCATTACCTCTCGGAATAGGAAGGGAAGCTGGGAGGGTTCCCAGAAACAAATCCTTTTGTGGCTTTACTTTCCAAGAAGATGTCATGGAAGAGCAAGCTCAGAAAGGCACATAATGTTTATTCAACTCCAGCTTCTTGGTAGGTCTGAATTGATTTCACTAGGTGAAGGGTAATCTAGCATTAAACTGGTTCCCTTAGGTTAGACATTCTTACCTTGGAACCATAGATCTTAGTAGGGTCTGGGGAAGGGTTTGTGAACTTTCTGAATCTATGAGCAGAGGTGTGTATGTTTGCCCTTTTCTCTGGGTAGAAGGTCCATGATTTTCATAGCATTCTCAGAGGTTGAGGACTCTTAAATTTATTTAAGGCCATTGCCCCAGGTGAACTGTGAAAAATAAGCCAGGGCTACTGTTACTGGGAAGCCTTGGTGGCACAGTGGTTAAATGCTCAGCTGCTAACTGAAAAGTTGGTGGTTCAAACCCACCAGCTGCTCCACTGGAGAAAGATGTGGCAGTCTGCTTTTGTAGTGATACAGCCTTGGAAACTAAGCAGTTCTGCTTAGTGTTCAGGGTCACTATGAGCGGGAATCAACTCAATAGCCATGGGTAACAGGTAACTGCTACTGTGTTGGTGACAAGTACACGGAAGAGAAAATAAGGAGTCTGCTCTTATTCTGAAATTACTTTGGCAAGAATGGGTTCCAGGTCTCTTGGACATACTAGGAAAATGCATTTTTTATCATTCTTTTTCACTGCATGTGAAAACTAGATTATAGTCTCATGAGAAAGGGAAGCTCTAAGTAGCCGTGTCAGGGCTTGACCTCCTTGAGGTATTGCTGTGGGAGGGGCCATGAAAGGATCAGAATGCTTTTACCTCTTCTGCAATTGGTTGCCCTGAAAGCAAGGAAGAATCCGACTGCCCAGCTTTACCTTCAGGGGAGGCTAAGAATGGCTCAGGTAATGTAAATTTCAGTAACTCATGGCTTAAGCAAGTGCACTTAACCTCAAAACCCACTGAGTTGATTCTGACTCATAGCAACCCTATGGGACAGAGTAGAACTGCCCCATAGGGTTTCCAAGGCTATAAATCTTTACAGAAACAGACTGCCTCATCTTCCTCCTGTGGTGGGTTAGAACTGCAGCGTTTTGATTAGCAGCCAAATGCTTTAACTACTGTGCCACCATAGCTACTAACTGTACTTAGTAAACACTAAATTAGTTGATATCTACATATTCAGTAAAAATGTGGTTGTCTGGCAAGAAGCCCTCAAGACCTCAGGCAGCTGAAATATGTTTGGGAGCACACCTATTGTTTTTTATGGGTCATTTTCCTCTGGAAGAAAAGACATTTTCTGATTAGTTGGTAGAAGTCAAAGGCTTGCCTTTTCTGGAACTACTGCAAAGAGCCAGAGAAATTACAGAAGAGAAAAAGGATTTTAGGAAGAGGGCTGGTGGCTGTCAGCAGAAATGAAACCCAGGCAGTGAGTGGAATTTAAGATCTGATGGAGGATAAGAAGGCATCCAGCGCCACAGGGGCTCTGTAGAGGCTAGACTTGTATACAGAACTGCTCTGAGTTCTCGCCACGCAGACAATTGATAAACACTTCCACCTGTGGCTGCCCGCCAGTCCTGGGCTGTACTCAAGGCAGAGAGGGATAGACAACAATGAACTGACACATCTGCAGCTCAGCACAGCCATTTACACAGAGCTAGTGACTCGAATGGAGGTGAGGGTGGTTCAGTGGTAGTGTTCTCCCCTCCCGTGCAGGAGACTGCTTTGAGTCCCAGCCAGTGCACCTCCCACACAGCCAGGACCTGTCTGTCAGTGGAGGCTTGCAGGTTGCTGTGATGCTGAACAGGTTCCAATGAAGCTTCCAGACTAAGAGGGACTAGTAAGAAACGCTTAGTAATCTGTTTCCAGAAATCAGCCAGTGAACACCCTGTGGATCACAACAGCCCTGTCTGCAACCAGCTGTGGGGATGGTGCAGGACAGGGCAGCTTTACATTCTGTCACGTAAGGAGTCGCCATAGTTGGGCCACCATGAAGACACCTAACAACAGGGACATGAGTAATGTGTGTTTAGAAACCATGTTACCTCCCTGCCCCCCATAAAAACAACATAACTCATACAAAATACCTCCTGCAGTGAAGAATCTGCCTTTCCTTTGTAGCAGTGGTTCTCAAGTGTGAAAACACCTGTGGGATTTTAAAAAATACCTATGTGTAGATGTTATCCTAGAAATTCTGATTTAATTGATAAGGAGAACACCTGGACATTATCAGGCTCTGACTCCCTCAGTGATTCTAATGTAGAGCAAAGTTTGAGAACTCTGCTCTATAGCCCAGTCATGGTCCTCAAAATTTATCAAATCACTACCTCACACCCCCAAACACCCCCCTAACAGATTCTGATTCCATAGATCTGGGGTACAATCTACATTTTTAACAAGCTCCCTAAGTGACCCTAATATAGAGAGGTCTTAAAACTGTGCCCTAGATATCAACAGACCTTCTTGGGGATATTTTATTTTATTACAGTTAACTACTATAATTAATCGAGTTGTCCTGGTTTATTGACCATTGCTATATAGTGCCGGTGATAGATTACTTGTAAGAGCAGTGCACGGGAGTTAATCATTTATTTTCTTTGTAGCCTGTTCTAAAAGTTGATTTTCTTTTTTTTCTTTTTTTTTTAATAAATACTCTGTGTGCTACCAAAATAGCAAAATTCAAGAGAAAGAAAATAATTTTCTTTATGTCATTTTGTTGGTAAGGATTCCAGAGGCAATGAAAGTTGGCTGAGAGATGATACATCACAAAGTGGTTAAGTGCATTGTTGTTCTTGCTAGCTACCATCAAGTCACGAGTTGGTTCTGACTCCTGGTGAGTCCATGTGTGTCAGAGTAGAGGTATGGGCCTGATTTTTTTGAAGCAGATCACCAGGCCTTTCTTCATAGTTGACTTCTTATCTCCATCTTAGTCTGGAAGGTCTATCGAGTCCAGTTCATCGTCATAGCAAACACACAAGCTACCACTAACAAATGGGTGGTGGCTGCACATGAGGTGCACTGGCCGGGAATCAAACCCAGGTCTCTTACGTGGAAGCTGAGAATTCTACCTCTAATCCACCAGTGCCTCAGTTAAGTACATAGACTTCCTGGGTTCAAATGCCAGAGCTGGCTACTTGGATAAAGAGGAGGCAATAATAGCATTTACCTCCCAGGACTGGTGGAGAATGTTGTTGTTTTTGTTATGTGCCATCGAGTCAGACCAAACTCAGTAACAACCCCTCCATGGGTTTCTGAGGCGGTATCACTATGGAAGTAGATTGCCCAACCTTCCTTCCAAGGAGTGGCTGGTGGGTTTGAACTGCCAGCTTTCTGGTTAGCAGTCAAGTGCCCTACCAGAGCTGGTGGAGAATAGAATGAGATACTTCATTTAAGTGCTTAAATAGTACTGTACATTATGACGATCAATGAAGATGAGCTATTGTGTTATTTATAACTAGAAGACAACACATACTTTATCTAAAGATTAATTAGTACTTACAAAGAATCTAGGAGTGAGAGCAGTTTTGATGTGAGAAGCCTTTTGTGTTTTCCTGTATGTAAAGATTGGAACTGTGTCCATCCACTCTTTTTGTCCTTCAGGGAATCAAAGCTGTCCTGGCCGAGAGCTATGAACGCATTCACCGCAGTAACCTGGTGGGAATGGGAGTGATCCCCCTGGAATACCTGCCTGGAGAGAATGCAGGTACCCTGGGACTCACAGGACAAGAACGATACACTATCATCATTCCAGAAAGCCTCAAACCACGAATGAAAATCCAGGTCAAGGTAAACAAGACTTATCCTTGACCAAGCCCAGCTAAAATGGGCCCTAGGTTTATAATCAATCTTGTTAGAAGGAAATCAGTGGGATTTAGAAGATTAAAAAAAATCACTCAATAGGACATTAGACCAGCACCATTTCTTCCTGCCTTCAAACATGGTAGCGAGGATAATAACTGTTGACTTCTCTGTTTATTCATAGAGTTATCAGTTTAATTCTTAACCTCAAAACCCTGACCTACCCCATTGTTTCCTGTTCCTCCCAGTCTCACTCAGACCAGAGAGTAGTGACCAAAGCTCAGAGAGAAAGCACTGTCACATTACCTAAAAACCACTTTTTTATTATAAAAATGTGAGCAACAGGGACACTCTGCCCTATCCCTGAGCCTACCTCAAGGCTTTGATGAGGAGATTCCTAGGGAAAGTAGGGATGAAGTCACCAGCACCAATGTTCCAGGAGTGAGTTAGCCACCGAGGCAGAGGCACATGCTGAGGTCTGTGTCCCAGGGTACGAATGTTGAAATTTTTTGATTGTGTACCTTTTGATACATCAGTAAACTTCTGCTGACCCATGAAACCCCCAGAGAGTTTTAAAAAGAGTGTGCCAAATGTCACTAGTATCTGCTGCCCTGAGCAGCTGTTTCTAGTTCTCAGGTGCTTCTTACCACAATCACTTATACTAGGCAGTGCTTCTCAAATGTTAACATGCACATAAATCTCCCAGGGATCTTGTTCATGCAGATAGATGCTGATTGAGCAGAGGTGGGCTGGGCCAGAGACCAACCTGTCCCCAGGTGCGTTGGATGCAGATTGCACTTGGAGTGGCAAGACTGTAGACAGGCTGGGCAGGATCTCCTCCTGACAGCTCTCACCTCCTCCAGAATGATTCTTCTCTGCTTCTTTGTCCTCACAGCTGGACACCGGGAAGACCTTCCAGACTGTCATGAGGTTTGACACCGATGTGGAGCTCACTTATTTCCACAACGGGGGCATCCTCAACTACATGATCCGCAAGATGGCCAAGTAGGCCCTTATTTCCTCAGAGATCTGCATTCCGTGTTGCACAAGGGAGGAAGCAGTGCCCCAGCCAGCGAAGCCCCTGAGGGAGAAGCCCTATCCCTGCCTCGGAGGAGGGTGCTGACTTGCAAATGGAGCAAGTGAGCACCTGGGTTTTGTTGCCATTCCTCCAACGCACAAAATCAGAAGTTTCTACATTCTCTGTTTTTGTTTATCTTTTTATCTTTTTCTAGAATGTGGAGGCTAGAATGGTAGGAATGTCCTTAAAGAGAGAAATGAGCTTGTTTTTAAAGTTACTGATCACAGGATATTGATTTCTCACTCTTGGCCTTTAGTGTCCAGTTGAGTGCAAACCAGGTGTTTTTCTACCCTTTTCATTGTATTCTGTTTTCCCGTGAGGGTCATTTTTCTTTGCATATCACACCAGTGTTAACTGACATGGGTAGATGAGAACTTTTTCACACTTTAAATCATAATAGTGATGGTGATTTTCTACCTTCCCTCCCAGTGAATGATCCAAACGCCTCATGACAGGTCAAACATTGAAATTTTTTGATCATGTACCTTTTAAAGAAATGTGAAATTTTCTTTCATTGTCTTCAAAAACTTTCCTCAGAAGATTTTTCATTTGTCAAGAGACCTTTGTTTGGAGGAGGTGTGGGAGGGAAACACAGAACATTTCTAATTTGAATAAGATTAAATCTATTTTCAAGGAAAACTTACTTGCTTTGGAATTAACTTCTGCTGTGTATGTGGCTATAGTTTTGGGATATTTAGACCTTACTTTGGACACATCATGAGAGGGACCAATCACTGGAGAAAGGACATCATGCTTGGTAAAGTAAAGGGTCAACAAAAAAGAGAAAGACCCTCAATGAGATGAATTGAACAGTGGCTGCAGCAATAGGCTCAAATATACCAACAGTTGTGAGGATGGCTCAGGACTGGACAACGTTGTGCTCTGTTATCCATAAGGTTGCTGTGAGTCACATTGACTCAACAGCAACTAACAACAGAACAGAATAAGTCTCAGACTATAGCATCCTGAAGCCTGGATGCCTTCCAGGTTTTCTTGTATTTACAACTGCATCAGTAGTGGGCAGGCAAAATACAACTGTTAAGGAACCAGTATGTTCTCTACCCTGTTTGGGAAGCAAACAGAAAGGAAGAGTAGCCTGCAGCAGTAGCAATAATAGTGAGTAGATCATAACTTTTAAAATTTTCATTCCTAAACTTTATCTGCTCATTTTCATCACTGATGCTGTTTCAGGGCATCTTGTATCTTACAAGTTAATTTCCTTGTCATGGATTCTTAATCTTGACTTTAGCACTCAGGAGGTGTGGCCTGGTAATTAAACACCTGGGATCTACTCCAGATGAGGGATTGGGACAAGTGATGTAGTTTCTCAGCCTCTGAAGTCTTGGGGATCGAACTAACGTACATAAATAAAAATTGCAAACAGAACCAGTTATATAAAAAAAGCCTGTGGCCCTCAAATTAGGGTCAGCCCTAGCATAAAAACTCTAAGGGTGAGAAAACAGACCCTCATCCCCTTAGCTCTCCATGACTGAGAATCTGGGGAGCTACCTACCTCCCCACATTCAGTGGTCATTGGTGCAGTGGCCTCTGGAATGGGATCCCTTCACTTCTGAACTCTCCCTCCTCTATCCCCAGACATACACACACAGCCCTCAGTCGTTTTCATTAACCAAGTGTCTTGCCAGTTTCACATCCTTGTCTGCAAAGGCTAAACAAAGAAACTCCTTTTACCTGGTTCCTTAAGAAGGTGCTGGTCCTCTTACTCTCCAAATTGAGAATACATTGCTCTTACTGGTCCTAGTCCATTCTTCCTCTCTGTAGGATTGCTGTCTCCCCAGTTTTTTTCCGTTTTCTAAATCCATTACTGCCTAATCCCTACTAGGGAAACAGGCATCCCTTGTGTCCACAATGAGTTAACTGACAAACTCATTTAATGCAGCAGTAAGTGCATGCATCTCTGTCTGTAGAACAGCCTTTATGTAGCTGTATATATACACCATGTCTTGGTGGGGCATGGAGAAGGGTCTGTTAGCCATGAGTCTTAGTTAGGTTCTGGGAATTCAACTAACTGGTTTAAACAAAAAAAAGAAGGGTGGAAAAGGGGAGGATTAACTGGCTCCCCTGTCTCAGGCCAGCCACCCCATGGCCCAGGGGATAGAGTTGCCCAGCGGATCTGAAGTTAAAAATGTGTAGTCTTAAAGAGATTTATCTCCCTAGGAAAAAAATATTGGGAGTTTCCTTACTCACCTGAAAGCTTCCCTTTCAGAGTTACATGAAGACAGTGTGGAGTTTTCGACAGGGTTATGTAGGAATCCAAGTTTCTATTGGCTGCCTTCTTGAGAGATTGCTAAGTCCCATAACCACAACTAGAATTTAATACCCAAATTTTGGGGGGGTTTTTGTTGTTGTTCAGTCAGCCTAATTATTATAAACAAAGAGTGTATCATTTTAGCCGATATTTTTATTATGTTTTTAAGTTTTGTACTCCTAAGAACAAGGCCTGCACAGTAATTAGGAGCTCTGGTAGCATAGTGCCTAAGGCACTTGACTGCTAACCAGAAGGCTGGTGGTTCAAACCCACCAGCCACTCCTCGGAAGGAAAGTTGGGCAATCCTACTTCCGCAGTCATACTGCCTCGGAAACCCAAGGAGGGGTCGCTATGAGTCAGGGCCGACTCGATGGCAAATAACAACAACAGAGTGAAATTAGTAGTTTTAATATATAGTATAATGAAACAGAGTTACTAGCATGACCCTGAAGTTAATGCACCAGTTTGGTTCTGGTTGTCTAGTGAGTATTCATGCTGATACCTGCTACCACATGTCCACAGGTTAACAATGCTGTGAATAAAAGAGCTCCAGGGAGAGTATATTTGGGAACCACTGGGTTTGATGGATTTTATCATCAGAGAACTTATACAGTGCAGATGTGTGCTTCCCAACCTGACCACAGAATGCTTTCTTCAGAGCATCTCAGAGCACCCCTGTTCCACAGGACATGAACTGAGGGTTTGGGTTTTTTAAAGTAATTATTATTCAGAAAATAATCAGTTTTAAGGATGGGAATCAGAGTTTACTGTTCTTATTTTCACACACAAAAAAACCAACCAACCAAACTCACTGCTGTCAAGTCGGATCCAACTCATAGCGACCCCTACTTGGGATTCCAAAGCTGTATCACTACGGAAGTAGATTGCCCAACTTGCCTTCTGAGGAGTGGCTGGTGGGTTTGAACTGCCAGCCTTCTGGTTAGCAGTCAAATGACTTAGGCACTATGCCACCAGGACCCTTAGAGAAAAATAAAAAGGTCCTGTGGCTGTGTAACTGGGACAGTATCTGAACTGCCTGAGGACTTCAGAAGACACACGTGGCTGCACACCATGCTGGGATATTTGAATGGGGGCTGAGTGCTCATGAAAAAGACTCCCCAGATGGTTCTGGTATGCCGTCTTTGATCTAGGATTTCAGTGACCAGTATGTGAGCATCAATGAAGAGTTTCTTAAAGCCCCTACATACTAGTTTCTTTCATTCATTGAATATTAACCATGTGCCTATTCTGCTCTAGGCTCTGTGCCTGACAATGGCTTGATTCCATGAAAAAGTCAACCAAGGAAATTCTCTTTTTCTTGCTTCAGCTTTAGTCTGCCTTCCTCTCTGCTGGCTGAGAGAGGACTGTTTGCCATCATCCAAAATGAACCATTTAAATCCTTAAAGAACATTTCTCAAACAGATTATCAGATGTCTTGAGTCCTGCTGAAGTTCTTAGTGTCCCGAGGTGGTGCGCATGCTCAACTACTAGCCAGAAGGTTCAAACCCACCCAAGAGGCACCTCCAAGAGAGGCCTGAAGAGCTACTTCTGAAAGGTCACAGCCACGAAAACCCTAGGAAGCAGTTCTGTGCATATACAGGGTCACCCACGAGGCCACATCGACTCAGTGGCAACTAACAACATTGATATTCATAAAACATCAAAAAAGGCAATCACATATCAAAGCATTCTATAATAAAATATACATAGAAAAGGAAAAAAAATAAGCTCTCAACAAGTTAATTAGCCCATTTTTTAATTGTGCCTTACTAAGAATACTAACAGTAACCATTACACATTAAATATACTTTATATAGGAGCTCTGGTGGCGTAGTGCCTAAGGCATTTGACTGCTAACCAGAAGGGTGGCAGTTCAAACCCACCAGCCACTCCTCGGAAGGAAAGTTGGGCAATCTACTTCCGTAGTGATACCACCTCAGAAACGCAAGGAGGGGTTCCTATGAGTCAAATCTGACTCAACGGCAGTGAGTTTGGTTTTTTTTTTTTTTTTTTTTAATGCTTTTTATATGTTATTTCAACCCACCATGAACCCTTAACAGTTAGGTATTATCCTTGTTTTACAGATGGAAAAAAACAAGCCAAGGAGAAGTTATGTAACTTGCCAGTTTCTCTGGCTCCCTGCCAGCACTACTGCTCATCAGATCAAACAGATGGTGACCATGATCTCTAGAACTGATGTGGGCAGTCTGGGTGGCTGGCCGCTCTTTGGGTGGTCTTTGAGAACTGATTCTCTTAGAGGCAAAGATCTTCTGAAAGTGTTTATAGCCTTCAGATGTAAACAGGTGCTACTTAAAAAGGGCTCTGTGGTCATAAGTTCTAAGTAAAATTAAGCAGATTTTTTCATTAGTCTTCTATAGAAACCAGGTGAAACCAGAAGCAATCCCTCCCCCCATCATTGGACTATTAACATTTTAAGATGTTTGGAGGTTTGTTTAAGCCACTGATGGTCCTAGTGAATTCCAAACAATTAATATGAAACTATTTTAGGAAGGTGCTTAAATTATATCATACCCTGAACTGAAGGAGCTGTGGTGGTACAGTGCCTAAGGCATCTGACTGCTAACCAGAAAGTTGGCAGTTCAGACCCACAAGCCAACTCCATGGAAAGAAGATGGGGCAATGTACTTCCATAAAGATTTACTGCCTCAGAAACCCAACAGGGGTCACTATGAGTCAACTGGCTTGACAGCAGTAGGTTTGTTTATATATATATACACACACACACACATATACATACATACATACATACATACACCCTGAACTGAACACAAGATACTCAAGCCTGAGTGGTAATGACAAAACTCAGGCAGTTGTCTCCAGGGCTGGAAAACCTCAAACTAAGCTGTTTGAAACATCAGAAAACCTTACTAAATGACAGAAATGCCATTTAGGCATGTATTCTAATTTTTCAAATAGAAAAGATAGCTAAATTAAACTGTCTCATCAGTGTCATGCAAGAGATCTGAGAACAGGCAGTCCAGGTGTTAAAGAAGAACATCAATCATTATTGGAAAATGGTTTGAGATGATCGTTCATAGGTAACAATGACAAATGTTAAGAACACAAATTAATAGGGCTAGATGTACAGTGAGCCAAAAGAAATCAACTTCTTAGGAAGTATTAAATCATGGTACATGTCCCCATCCCTAACATCTGTCTACTATAGTGTTTTAAGATGGCCATGCTACAATGAACTATTTTATATATATATATCTCCCCCTTGGAATTATCAACACTTAAGGGGTCAGCAAAAAAGAACTAATCAGAAAGACTGGGATAAAGGAGAATTTCAAGAAAAGAGTACTCAACTGGACCAAAAGCAGCAAAGAGGTCAAGTACTAAGAAGTACTACATCCCCAGTGGGTTTAGCAACTAGAGTCAGAAGTTGTCCTTAGCAAGAACAGTATCAGTAAATTGATAAGGGCAAAAGTCTGTTTATAGTAACTTAAGGAAAGGGAGGTATGGAAAACCTTTCAACAGTCATTTCATTCATTCACTTGTCCCAATGTGTATGGAGTGGCTACTGTAGGTACACTGGCAGTTGGCTCTGAAGGGAAGAAGAGAAACAGAACTTAAGGCTTTTTAATTTTTCTGTTAATAGCCTACAAAGTGCTGCAGTTCACTCCCTTATGCTTTACAAATATGATATACTGCAAACTGTTGAAAACAATACACAGGAAGTAAAGTGGTAAATAGTATAAGCCTTAGGAAAAGTATCTTTACAGTGGTACAAGGGATTTATGATTATACCCACTGGGCCTACTTTCTTCTTCATGCCATGTCACTCATTCCCTATAGCTGAAGATTGAGGCCCTGAGGTCATTTGGACATTTCTGCAGCATCAAATGTTACCCTCTTAAAATGAAAGTCCTTCCACTTTGCATACAGTGTCTGATTTCCGGTGGCAATATCCTCCACCACAAAACTTTCAATTTTTATTACTGGAATTTCAAATGTCCTATACTTCACGTGGATTCCCCAGTCATAATTGCAGTTCTCACGGGCACAGAATATCTTTGCTCTCTTCTCAAAGTTCTCAAAGGTCTTTGGTTTGGGATGTGGCTTACTCACAAAGCACTCCTTAAAAGCATTACCAATCACAGTGTAATGAGATTCCTGTAGATGAAGGGATAGAAAAACACACAAAACATTAGAACCAGTACACAACTGCAATAATACTATTAATAATCTGAGGTGAACAGCAAGTGCAATCCCACCTGTTTTACAGATGGGGTAAGAAGCAAATCTGAATTCACCTAACATCAACCAGAAACTAGAATCTATGCTACCTGACTCCATTTACACAGATGGGGGTGGGGTTGGAGGTACAAATAAGGTAAAATCATACACCTCATTAAGGGGATTACAAAGTTTTTAGGTAACCTAGTTTCATAATGTAGATACTCTTAATTCATGAACAAAAGGGTTATTTGTTGAAGATCTAAGTTCACCAGCAGCCCTTTTAGGCACAGTTCAAAGGGTCACTTACAGTCAACTTTAGAATAAACCTGAGTAAAAGGCCAAAGTGCACAGACACAAAGTAGATCCAGTATTCCAGTCCCTCAGAAGGGGCTATTTTCTTTCAATCACAGAATTAGAGCCAAAAGAATCATTTATAGCTAAAGAAAGCAGACTCAGACAGGTAAAGGGACCTGTCAGTATCATCCCTAATACACTTCTTGTCCAAACAGTTGGACTCAACTAAGTTTAGCTTTCTGCAGACCACACAACGCAAAATCACCTGAAGCGACTCTCCCCTTCATCAGCAGCAACAGACTAACACAAGAGTCTTTAGGGACTTTTCTAACATTTTACCTAAGCTTTCAGGGGAAAAAAAATACATATACAGAAAGCTAAACTAAGATGTTACACTTTTAAAATAAGCAGATATTTTGTTTTCATAATAAAAGCAATTCATCTTCCAAAACAAAAGTCTGGAAAAAAAAATGGTAGAAAGGAGGAGAAACAATCAGTCTTTTTTCTGTACGAAGGTAGGTTTTCTGTTGGACTTTTTTGTTGCTGGTGAGGGTAGTATAGCTTTCATTTCACATGGCTATAATTATAGAGTATATACAATTTTGTCCCCCAGTTATTTTGTGCACTTTACCATCAGTTTGTAAGCATTTTTTTTTCCATTCTACTACTTAAGTTCCACATCATTGGGTTTTCTTTTAATGAACTTATTTTAGAGTAATTTTACATGAATTTCAGTTGCAAAGATAGTCCAAAGAACTCCTCTATATCCTTCATCCAGTTTCCCCTTATGCTAAAATATAATAATAGAACTTTTATCAAAACTAAGAAATTAACATTGGTACATTGCTATTAACCACAGATTTTACCAGTGTTTCCACTAATGACTTTTCTGTTCCAGGATCTAAGCTAAGATACCATACTGCATTTAGCATAACCATAATTTGTAATGGGAGCCCTGATGATGCAGTTGTAAAAGTGCTCGACTACCAACATAAAGGTCAGTGGCTCAAACCTACCAGCAATTCTATAGGCGAAAGACATGGCAGTCTGCTCTTATCAAGATTTACAGCCTTGGAAACCCTTTAGGACAGTTCTACTATGTCCTATAAGGTCTCTATGGGTCAAAATTGACTCAATAGCAATGGGTGTGGTTTTTGGCATAATAATTCATTAAGTGGTTGTGCATTTAATGTGCAACAATTTTTTAAAACTACTTCTTTATTGTTGAACATTTAGGGTAGTTTTTAGCTTTTTGTAATATATGTGGACCATGATGACGATAACACGCAAATGGAAATAATAGTATAGTTACTACAAATACCTCTCTGATAACAAGCTTTAACTACTGCTAAAGAAGTGACCAAGTGCTCTTTAAAAAGAAGCTGCTTACCTCAACCACTCTTATATCAACTGTATAGCAAGCAAAGGCTTTGCACTTTTTGCAGAGCAGTTTTGTATTTTCCTTATCTGGTTCAGGTTTTGGTATTTCTTGATTATCTCTAATGAATTTTTCTTGATTCTGTATGACGCAAAGCTACATGCAAAAAAAAAAAAAAAAACCTCAAATTAATTTGAGTGTAATATAGTATATGTATATATGAGCTCTGGTGGAGGCATTTGTCTGCTAACCAAAAGGTTGGTGGTTTGAACCCACGAGCTGCTCCATGGAAGAAAGATAAGGTGGTCTGCTTCCATAAAGATTTACAGACTTGGAAACCCAATGGGGGTTGTTATGAGTCAGAACTGAATTGATGGCAGTGAGTTTATAT